TAACTAAAGAACTTAGCTACTTAGTAGAAAGGTTTACTATAATATTACGTTTAATAAGCTAACTATTCTAAAGAATCTAATAACTTTTTTTAAAAGCTCTATATAAACTTAGTTAGTAGTACTAAGACTATTATTAACTTCTATTAATAATACCTAGTAAAACTAGCTATATACTTTAGCTTTAGAGACTTAGTAAGCTAATAAAACTTTATAATAATAATACTTAGTATATTTACGCTATTAGAAGAATATTACTAATAGCTAAATATAAGTACTTACGTTTTACCTTAGCACGTAAGTTACTATAACTAAGAAAAATATTTTTATATTTCTATCTTACTATATAATAAAGATACTTTTTATATATTTTATTAACTAATATATATAAAGACTTAGAGTAGACACTATACTTAATATAAAAGTAACTATATCTACTAAAGATTAGTTAAGTAGTATAATAGTGTAATTTAGCCTTTAGAGAGTTATACTTTATATAGTAATAGCTAATCTAGCTAAAATAATAACACTACTTCTATAGAAGGCGTAGTACACTACCTACTTACTAATAACTAAATAAGAACTATAACACTATAATACTATCTATCTAATCTAACTTATAGTAGCCTTATTAAGCTAGCTCTTCTAATATAAACTACTACACTAATACTATAATTAAAGCGCACTAGCGCGTTATATATAAAAAAAAAAAAAAAAAGAATATATAGAGAGAATATAATAGAAGCCTAGAAGAATTTAAAAGAATAACTACGTATTATAATACTATTTTAGTCTATATAGCTTTATAATATAGGTATTTTCTTTATAATTATTATTTATATTTATAATTATATATAACTAGTATATTATATAAAAGTAAAAAGAATATTATAAGTATTAGAACTTACTCTCTTTTAAGAAGAAGGTAGTATAGTAAATTAAACTTATAATCTTTACTTAATTAGGCCTAGCGCTAATTAAGTAAAAAATATTAAATATTTACTTACTTCTATATATAGACTTATACGCAGAATCTTACTTATTTAACTTACTTATATTATATCTCTACACTTTACGCTAGAGTTTTAGAGCTATTATAAATAATAAAAATAATATTACTATTAATAGATATAAAGTTTATTATAAAAGTATTTTTAATAGTTTTAGTTTTAGAAATAAAGTCTAAATAAAAGTAGTAAAATAGAATTTTATACTACTTATAAGTATTTTAAAAAAAACTTTACTTATAGTTATTATAACTATTTAAGTTACTACTAAACTTTAGTTATTAACTAAATTTTCTATTTATTTTATAGTACTAAATACTACTTACTTATTTAAAAAGTAATATTATAATACTAAACTACTACTTTTAACTTAAAAAAATAATTAGTAATTATATATAATTTATATAACAAACGCGCAGCAAGATAAGTAAAAGATAATAAGTAGCAAATTGCAGAATGGTAACAAAGCGCCTGCACAGCCCTGCCCAGGCGCTAACTCGGGTGCTCGGAGTAGAGCTAGCCCGCCCCCCGCATTCGTCCTAATACCAAAGGCGCATCTAGTAATGTCTGTAGATACCAGACTCGACGCGACAACGCTGGATACATAAAAGCAATCACCGTCAACCTTGAAAAGACGCGGAACTGCTGTTTCACTTGTTTTAACCGAGCACCTTTCCAGCTACCAAACGCTGGCACGAATCGAAGCCATCAAACTCCCAGCCTGCAACGCACTCATGATACGATTCTCATATGCTACTACTTAAGTAGCAAGCTGGTCGGTCAGACCCTTTGCAGCTGTCTCTCGTCTTTAGCCACACTCTTTAGGTTGGCACTGAGGTCTGTGGCAGCGGAGAAGACATGGTACGGGTAGCGCGATCTTTGTGGGTTTTGCTCATGATACTGCCAGGAGAGACTCGCAACACAGTCGTGGTTGTCTCGTCCCACTGTCCAGACCCGAACTTCTCAGAGATGCGCTTTAGATGTTGGTTCCCGAACGAAGATTTGGATTGATATACATAGCTACTCTCGCGTAGTTGACAAAATTGAGCCTAGATTACGAGCAATATTACCTACACTCTTTCTTCGCCCACGCCTGGCTTGCCGTGCTACTCCAAGAAAATCTGAATTGATAGAAACGTCAGCACCGTCATCGAGGATCAGCAGCATGTCTTTATCAACGGCATTGAGGACATGCAGCAATTCGCGGTTGGTGTCAATCTCTTTTCGCAGTTTCTCGATCATCTTAAAAGCAGTCGTCAGCCTCAGTCCATAATGTTGTTGCACTCGCACTAACCTCAATTACGGGTGGCTTGAGCTCTGCGAAATTCGACTGCCGATGGTTCCAAGGTATGAAGAAGTAAGAAGTATTCTGATGAATGCGATTGCGGTCGGTTTCGAAATCTCTGAGTTGCTCATATCCGCCAAAGTACCAGCACATGAACTCCAGGAACACACACCCGAGAGCCCAAACATCGCATTGACTACTGAGCTCACCGCCGTCTAATTGACACTCAGGTGACTGATAGGATGTCGAGCGTGGGACGGTCTTCCTGTCTTTGACGGAAACATGTTCGTTGTCGCTGAACTGCGTTGTCCCGAAGTCAGAGAGCTTCAAGATACCAAACATGTAATCGGTTGTTCCAGCAGAAGATCCAGGAGGATACCATAAGATGTTACTGGGCTTGATATCACCGTGCCGACCGAACAAACTTTTCTGATTCCGTTGCCCTGGCGATTGGGACGATTGTGGGCGGGATCGTGGAGCAGGCTGTGGTGCTCCAGAGGTGTTGTTGTAAGGCATTGAGGTATTGGATAGTGTCTTGTAGCGATGTATTTGAGACACCGCCTCGGCTAGGCCATAACACTGGTGCGTCAGCCAGGCAGAAAGCTTCTTGTCATCACCCAAGGATCGAGGATGCTTCAACTCCCAATACTGCTCGAGATCAGCATCAGCCCAAGGGAAGATTAGACAAAGGTAGTCGCGTTGCTGGTAAGTCGCGAGCAATGTCACCAAATGATGGTGAGCGTGAAGCGTCTTGCTCAGGTTTTGCAGCACATTCATTTCACGCTTGACAACATTGCGATTCTTGAGTAGAAGCTTCTTCACAGCAACGACGTTGCAAGGGACCTGGCACGTTGTTAGTCTATAAGAAGCTTTTTCTCGGTGCTTACTTACCTCGCTTGCGTCAAAGTCATGATGATCAGGGTGAACCTCAGCTCTGTACACTTGCGCAAACCCGCCTTGACGACCTTCATCTGTCCAAGCTATGAATGGTAGGATATAACTCTCAGAGACTTCAAGGTGTGCATCTGTCTTACTGTTCGGCTTGCGAAAGACAGGTGCGAGTACATACCACTGGCATTCCAGGAAGCGATGCATATTGTAAGAGCTTTTGAGACACTTCAGTGCCGTTGCCACTTTTCCACCATGCCGCAATCTGAGCATACTCTCCTCGAGAGGAAGATCAGCATCGCAGACCTGTTCTCTTACGAAAGACCATATTCTCTTAGGTCGATCGATCAACAGCAAAATCGCGAAAATCAGCTTGTAATATGGCCCGTCAGGTTGGGTGATGGCATCACCATGACCCTGCCCAGTCTGCCCACGTCCAACAGCCTCATCTTTGGGATGCATCTCAACTCTTAACTTGACGGATGAATGCCAGGGGTGCTTCAGTATCCTTGTAGGAAGATATGCTATCCTTGACAGTTCATGTTCCACTGACCGCGACGTGATAAGACTATCCAAACGCCCTTTCGGCAGGAACTTTCGATTGGTCCAAGACTCGCATTTCAAGGCTATTCGAAGTTGTTCACCAAGGTGATTCTCATTGAGAACAAGGCTGCTGAGAGTCAAGTCTTCTGTTCTCTGTTGGCGCTCTATCCGCGTAGTTACTGGTCTTTCTTCCGGTTTCGTGGTCTCGTTCTCTGCGACATCTAGTGGAAGTGAAAGGACCGCTGAGCGAGTTCTCCGTGGACTCACTTCTGCCCGTCGGCCTCTGGGGGTCATAGCCAGCGACCCATCTTCAGAAAAAACCTTCCTGTGGCCTTTGGTGGCAGTTTCTTGGATCAAAGCGCTCAAACCGTTTATGTTAGGTATCTGACGATATGACAGGGTTTTGCTCTCGTCGGTTGTGTCGGCTGTTGAGGCTGCTCTCGCAGGTTGCGCCATGTCGCTCTGCATCGCGCTGTGTAACCTGTCGTCAGATATCAACCATCAAATGGAATGTCTCGTGATGCCATGATTCGCTTACCCTGTAATGAAGCGTATCGCGTGGATGTATTATGCACGCACCCGTCCGAAGTATCCGTTCATTTGATGCGTCTACTATTGACATATCTTCTGCATTCCTGGATGGATAGGCTGCATGATGCCGAAAGATCAAGCGCTGCCACCCACTTATAATGCCCATGGCTTTTCAGCTGTGATGCGCGTCAGCAGCATGTCGCGTGCATGGTGGGAGGAGGACCTCCAGCCTCGACCCCGCAGTCACCGCACAGGGCATGCCGTCCCGCTTCAGGCCGCCTCACCAATTTGCCTTGCCGCTGCCTTCTTTTCGGATCCCCCACAACACCCATTCAGACGTCACAGCTGCACACCAAGTCCAGCCACAATATCGAACATGCGCATCTGATCACGAATGTCTGCATGCAGCAGACTGGGATTCAGTGAGAGTCTTATCTTTGTCCGCTGATTTGCTGAGCAGAGCCTCATCTCCAATGATACTGGCATAGCGATGGCTATCCTTCCAAGTGAAATGACCGCAGCGGACGGCGGCGGCCATTGGTCTTCTACGATCCATAGATGCGACGTCAGCTCTTACCGAAACGAGGACCAGTGAGCCGAAGAGCCGCAAGAGCTATTTCGGAGGTCTGATGGTGCTTATATGCCTATCGTCGGCGGCTGAAGATCTGGGTCTATCGGCTCCTCGAACCTTACTGCCGGCCTTACACTTGTCTATCAACGAATATACTGACGATCGAAGACAGCCAGCTATGTCTTCGAGTGGTGAGCAGGTGATGGAAAATGAAGACATGTATACGTCGGAATCCGACACCGATTCCGACCCCGCTGGGTCGCTGCGGGAGAGGCTCTGTGTCGCTATGCAGAAAAGCATGTTCGAAAGGACAGAGGGGAACAAGTTCATTCCAAGAAGCATTTTCGATGAGATCTTCACAGGAACCGCCTCGACTCAGACGGACAGACGCAATTTTGTGCTTCGAGTTATGGGCAGAGAATTGAGTCGGCCGAGCAAGGAAGATATCGCACTCGCCGATTACATCATGGGAAGCGCACAGAAGGTTTTCCTCATCGCAGTTTACATACGATTGGACCGACTTCATGCAGCAATGAGACTATTCAAAGATGATAAGTTCACAGATGAGAGGTTACCAATTGACGAATGGAAAGGGAACCAGTTGGAGTGTGAACTAGAGAGTCATCCATTCGTGCTGATGGAGGACAAGAGGAAACACAAAAGCAAGAGCACAAAGCGCATATGGCGCGTTCAGTCCATCAGTCTCTTCCAGGATGACCAGTTGTTGTTCCTGTCCCCAACAATATCAGTACATGAGCAGTATTGCAAGTTCGACAATCGCCGGCCGATTCCTTTCATTGAGAAGGACACACATCTTAGTAGTGGCGCGCATGGGGTCGTGTACAAGTATGCAATTCACCATGCACACTTCAGAAATTCACTCAACCAGGTATTCTAGATCAATCCCCTGGAATCGGTTATTCAGACTGACATGATACTACAGTACGAGAGTAAATCTTCTGTTGTCGCAGTCAAGGCTTTTAGGAAAGGCGGCAAGAATGTAGCAGTCGATGTGAAAAGAGAAGTCGACGCTTTGGTCAGAATGAACGAACTCGGACAGAAACACATCGTCCGTTTTATCACGTCTTTTCAACGCGGTACCCTGGCGGATTTGGAATACTACGTGCTGTTCGAATGGGCAGATGGCGGGAACCTCAGCGACTTTTGGACTCAACAGGACAGTTCAAGGCGAACAGCCTCACTAGTTGAGTGGGTGATAAGGCAACTTTGTGGATTAGCAAAAGCGCTCGCAGCGGCCCATTACATGCCGGACAAGGTTTCCTACCGCCACGGTGATCTCAAGCCTGGCAACATCCTCTGGTTCAGGGATAATGATGGATACGGCACGCTCAAGATCGGTGACTGGGGTGAGGCAAAGAGTCACGAGCAAGTTACTGCCTTGCGCCATGGTCACGTGGATACAACTGCAAGATACGGTACAAGAAGATACGAACCACCCGAGACCGGCCTGCAGCCACTTCTTCCTAAGGGCACTCCGCATGTACGGTCCCGCTTATACGACGTATGGGGTATGGGCTGTATCATCCTCGAGTTTATCATCTGGCTGTTGTACGACCATGGAGAGCTCTCTAGATTCAACAACAGTAATCAAGGATACTTCGGTCCTTCCGACATGTTCTACGAGATTAGTCACGAGAGAGTTGTACGAATCCATCGCGTCGTGGAACACTGGATGGAGCACATGGCAAAGGACGGATTGTGTCGTCCAGATGCGACGGCTCTGGGCAATCTCCTCCAAATCGTTCGTACAAAACTCTTGGTCGTTGATCTCCCCGAAGTTGGTGGTCCAGCTGATACCGGGATGCCTCCCATTTCACATGATGACAGTCCATTGATCAGCGTCACCACGCCAGATTCCACAAATCACAAGGTCATTCATGGTCCGGAATCAGGACCGCAGACTAGAATTCGTGCCTATGAGCTCGAGGCGGAGTTACTCCTCATAGCTCAAGGTGGAGGAAGTGAAAACTACTGGTACCAAAATCAGGAGCCAAGACCAGCGCCAGCGGAAATCATTGGTTTGCCTCATTTACCGGTACCTACTGACCACAGGGTCCATTCTACCGGTCTTCCCGTCCCTACAAACGACATGGTCGACTATGCGCATCCATCCTTAGATCCAGAAGAATGGGTGTTCGAACTTGACAACGACTTTGCTACAACCCTATTGTCTCGATTGAGAAGTACCACGGGAATCTCTCCGCATCAAACACCGCCGTCAGTGAAGTTGTGCAACATCTGCAGAGACTTCCAGGGAAGGCTGCTAGACACAGAGTTTGCAATTTCCTATGCCACACAAACACTCCAAACAAACTCGGAGGCCAAGAGCTGCGATCTGTGCTACCTGCTATGGCCAATCTGCGATGACAGATTGGAGGGAGGAAGCAAAAGTGTGCACTTCGAAAGGGCGGGCTCTACTGTGCGAATGAAAGGCACGAAGCATCCGGTACTTACCTTATTACGGGGCGATGGTAAGTCACTGCTCTAACCTTAGAACGACTATCTCGTGCTCACTGCTGTCACCAATACAGGTGTTAGCTGCCGCGCGCATAATGTTCAAATCGGATTCCCTGAGCTTTCAGGGGCAGGTACGGAATCGCATCTTCGCTTGATACGGGGTTGGCTTGATGATTGCGATAAAACGCACTTCAAGCCTGTTTGTAAGCCCCCCGAGGACACAAACCTCACGACGAATACCAAGGTCAGACTGCCAACCCGTCTGATTTACGTTGGCAGCGATGGCGATCATGATGTCAAGCTCCAGGAGATGCGGGTTGGGAAAACTGGTGACTGGATCGCGCTTTCTTATCGCTGGGGCGACTCCCCACCCTTCTCGACCACTCGGAAAAACCTCAATAGTCATACCAAGGGTATGGCGCTGTCAGCGCTACCTTGCACGTTCCAGGATGCGATTAAGGTAACTCGCGCTCTTGGAAAGGAATACTTATGGATTGATTCTATCTGCATTGTACAAGGCGAAGACGGTGATTTCAGTTCTGAGTCAAAGCGGATGGAAGATGTGTACAGCGGTGCCTACTGCGTGTTGGCCGCCAGCTGCGCTACCGATCAGAGGTCAGGGTTCTTACTGCCTCGGGCGAAACGAGAGCATGTCGCCCTGAACTGCGAGAAAGACGGCAGTAGTGATACGTTGTACGTCTGTAGTACGATTGAGGATTTCCGTAGTCACGTACTACAGGGCGCACTGCACAGGCGTGGATGGGTGTTGCAAGAGCATGCCCTAGCTAGACGCACGGTGTTCTTCACGGAACATCAAACCTATTGGGAATGTGGTCATGGCGTTCGATGCGAGACTATGGTAAGAATGAAAAAGTGAGTGATGCATCCGTATTTCATCTGGCGTAAGCCGTTGGCCGATAGAAGCTAATGTGTCGTTAGCGAATCCGCTGCTTTGCTCGGGGACCCAGACTTCCCCAAAATTTTCGATCCGGCGAAATACGGTGAGCGCATTCTCAGGTTTCAGGAACTGTATCGACAATATTCTCGGTTAGATCTTTCGGCAGATTACGACCGGCCGGCAGCCATTGGCGGCTTGCAACAGCGTCTTCTCCGCACGATGGGTGTGCGTGGCGGATTCGGCATCTTGGACGACCCCAACAAAAGCGGCCTCCTTCACCGTAGTCTCCTATGGCATCGTGGAGAGGAGTTCAAACAATTGAAACCAATCGCATTTCCAAGCGATCGAGAACGTGTGCCGTCTTGGTCCTGGATGTCAGTGTCGGGTGGAATTGACTACTTGGCCTTGACATGGCGTCAATATGACTGGCAAGTAATACAACCTCCGTGGTCACCTTCGCCTGTCAGGGCTCCCAACGCTTTCCATGGAAAAGCACAAGTCTTTGATATCACGGCTGCAAGGGTGAATGAGGATAGTGTTATGTTCGACAATACGCTGGATTCGGAGGTTTTGGAGTACATGGCACTTGTGCTAGGCATTGAGAAGGGTCCGAAGGAGATTAAAGACAAGAGGCATTATATACTCGTGGTCAGGCCAAAGGTGAAACCCCGCGCGGATGGTACCATGCTATACGAACGGGTCGGAGCAGGTTACATACCAGGAAGATGCCTGAGAGGAGAGGCTAGCATCTGTACGCTAGTATGATCCGTAGTCGTGCCTTCTCGCTTGTGAGCTTAAGTGTCTGGGCGGTCATCACGTCAATTGCAGTACATCTGAGCCTAGCACCCTATTAATGCTGAAGCAACAACACAGCTGGAATGAAACCATGTATTAGCATACTATTATGTCTCGATCGCGCCTACTTCTGGCAGCATACAATGATCTTCATCTACTTCAAGTGCCAGGGTCTAAGTTGCAGTCGTTGATGATACTGCACACATATGTCGCAACCTCAAGTACCGAGCCTGGGGTGGGCTGCAGGGAACATAGTACAAGCGCACGGAATAAATGGTCATCTTCCGGGGAAATGGCTTAAGCTGTATATCCGATGTACAAGAACCCCATTAAAACGATCTTCTTATAATCGCGTGTCTTCTCATTAGCGAGAGGCTGCCGCGGTAAACAATATACAAGGGCACCAATATCGTCAGACATGAGGCGGTGCTAATGCGGGGTCAGTCGGGCTGTGTAAATGGCTGCCACATGACATTCTACCCCCTCCTTCTCTCCTCTCTAGGGTGTCAGCTCCCGTATCCGCCACCAACCTAACGTTTTAATTTTCTCGTCTTTGCTTTCATTTCGAAGGAAACTGCAAATCGCAAAATCCAAGCCACTTCACGCGAGAAAGTAGTCGGTGCCGATGCCTTCCGCGAGGTGCAGCACTAGTAATTGTAACGAGTGGGCAGCGACGGGGGAAGACTTCTGCCATGGGTGTCTGGACAAACAGCAAGGCCATCATGTAGACTGCCCTCACGTATGGAGTACTCAAAGAACGATGTACGAATATTGCTAAGCATGAGTAAGCCGACACTGCTGACTGTACTGTAGCATACCGCAGAACTATCGGATGCGCACGACTTGTTCCACGATATCTCCAAACTTTCGCCCACTATCTTTGCTACCAACGGACAACCACTCAAATGGTCTGACATGTTGCGCCTCGCTTGGGAAATCATGCTCGCAACCGCTTCCACGATACATCTTACCTGATCCTATACCGATGCGTCGGTAGGTGTTGGAATCATGGCCCGATCTTGCAAGGATTAAGAAGTTGTGATATAGGTATCTGCGGTGGTAGATGGAGTAAAGGCTCAGAAGCGTAATCGGCTCCTCTCGTTCTTGGTCGAGAGCGTCGTCATACGTTCTACTTTGCGATTGGTCTGAAGTGCCTTGTGTTTCGTTTGCATTGTAGGGTGGTACGGATGCATCAATAGAGAATTCACATGTGGCCCGTTTATCGGTGTTTGGCGAGTACATTGCACCGTCGATGCAGATTGTAAAGGTTTCGAAATCGTGAGAAGACCGCCGCAAAAGAGCTGCTACAGTATGGCCTTGTAGAGTCAATGAACATGCCAAAGCTCTGTTATATGGGCCGTCACCAGCAGTCTTGTAGTGATACTTGATCATCGTCGTGTGCTCAATTCGAGAGCCGGGATATGAGTGGCGCGCAAGTCGAAAGTTTACAGCTCCAGGCGACGAGACCCACGACCAACTCGGAGCAAGCCATGTTGACGTTCTTGAAGTCGGATCAATATCGCGTTGCCAGACTAGGTCATAAAGCAATGTCTCCTTCCATCCACCCGCAATATACGTATAGCAGGTTTCTGCTCCGAATTTGTTGGCCAAGCCACTCAGAGCTGGGAGCCTGTCCTCAGGAACTTTCAGTTCCCGAGTTGAGTACTCTTCGATTATTTGACTCCAGCTCTTAGAGATGCTTAGAATCCTGTCCGTAGTCGTTGTTCCAATGAGTACAGGGAAGAGTGGTTGCGCCGGTATCTTGATATGGTGGCACTCGCACTCTTTTGATGTTCTACAGGTCCACTGTAACTCTGCCCCAGTAAAGGCTATAAGTCGCGTTGAGAGCATCTTCTCTTGCAGACCCCATGCTCGTGTATCTAGTGGATCGATGTCTTTTGACCGTCCAGTCTTGGCATGTATACCTCGAGCAATTTTTCTCCTTGCTTTGAATACCACATCGATTGGACCTCCTTTGAGTTCGCTGAACAGTTCGATTTCTTCGTATATTGGGTTCCGTTTCTGGAACAAAGAGTGGTGCGGGTCCGTCGACAAAGAGGCTGCTATGGTGATGGCAGCTCCTTCATAAATCTGGCCCATTCTTGCAGCTTGCTCTTCCCAATCTGTAGGGCTATCTTGAACTATGCATAGAGTATCAATCCAGAGATAGCAAATGCTAAGACTTTGTGCCATGTCTGCCGCATCTTGGAAAGCTAAGGGAAGCCTGTCTCGGTCGAATCCATGTTTCATCTCTTGATAGTTCCTTGAAGTGGTCATAGCAAATCCACTACTACCCCAAGAATACGATAAAGTAGCATATGTGCCCTCCGTACCTGCAGGTGGCTCGATCACACGGTATTGGCTCCTAGAAATATCGACGATTCGTTTTGGGAGCCAGCTTGGTCCCCGACCACACTGCTTCACATGCTCAGTCACGCAGGTGTAGTAATTTTCCTTTAGAAAGTCCACTGACGCTGCGAAAGTCGATTCCCTTGGAACATCGTTGCCCACTGTTGGATAATTGGGTATCGTGTTTGCTACATAGTGATTGCTTAGCGACGAGCATTTATAGAAGTTCTTCCAGAGGACAGACACTTACTCGAACATGGGTAGATCTCCACAATCTCATGAAAGCCTTGTTCACCTGAAGAGTGTAGCTCAGCCGGCGAGTCTGGGTAAAGTAGAAGTTCAACCCGCATCTCTGCAGTTACATATTGCAAGAGTAGAAAGCTCTGCAGAACAAGATCACAAAAGAAACACCCCTGCACGGCCGATGTGCGAAAGTCATCAAAGGAGCGGTTAGACACAACAATAAGGCTACGACGATGAGTTTCGTCGTGATCGCGCGTGTATAGGTATCCCAGAGAGCTGCATGTTGGACAACATACATCTGCGGTTCCGTCGACAAGCTCTAAGCGCCTGTCGCGTGGATACCTAGGTATCAGTGGCAACGTGAAGATTGAGAAC